CTATAAGTATAGTATTACACAGAAAAAAAAAAAGTCAAATTGCCTTAAAAAAGTCAATAAAAAGACAAGAAAAACCAAATCTTGCCATATATATTATTATTAAGAAAAGATGAAATAATACTCCAACGACGGTTCCTGCTGGTGGAGGTGCGCTTTCAGACATCTAACAGAATCAAAGTGATTCCCAGAGAAAGCATCAATCCTCCAAACTTTCTCTCCTAACATCTTTCTTTTAAGCACCCATCACCGACCTTCTTCCCATTCAACAAGCAACCATGGCACCTTCCAGGGTTTCCCTCATCTTCTCATTGCTTCTCTTCTCTGTTCTTTCCATGAATCCCCCAGTCCTTTGTGATACAAGTAAGATTTCTGTTTTCTGTTCTCCATTTTTCAGTCACTTCTATGCATGTTTCTTATCGTTTTAGCTTCATTTATCCTGCATTTCATGATACTATTTGTTTTCTTTTGCATTGTGTGCTACTGGGTCAAATCTGCTTGGTGTTGAGGTCAGACCCAGTTCTTAGGAGATCTGATGATAGCTGATTGATCTGGGTATTTCCCTTGTTAATGAAGTGTTAGGCTTTGCTCACTGAACTTGCAGACGTGTCTGAAAATTATAGTTTAGCTTTAGCAACCTGGTTTGTCTATGGTTACTATATATTTCAAGATATTCTTGATCACCCATGAAGGAGAACTACTGATATATGGACATGGCATTTCTTTGATTATTATGTGATTGAAAAGTTACTAACTGTTTTATCACATATGTTATTTGGTTCTGATTAAGGACAAGGCACCGGACCTGGGTGAATTGCCTTTGACTAAATTTTCAATTGCTACCCAGTTGGATGCTATATGGTTTATTCACAAGATATTTTTTGATACTATGGCTTCCTGCTCTCAAATATTATGTGGAGTAGTTTATACTGATCATACTCTATTGTGTCATTTATCTATTCTTCATGATGTGACACCTAGATTTCAGAAGGTTGGAACTTGGAACTTGGGAGAAGAGAAACGTTTCTCCTTGTGTTAGATTGCAATTGCAAGCACCAAGACCAAGGTTTCCGGTTATTTGGGTCCTTTGTCTTTTCCTTAATGTAGTTAATATTTTCTTTCCCCTGATGTATCTAATAATAGAGATGATCCTTAGGATACATAGCCTCCACAATTCTGTTAGTACACACCATTTTGGGGACACAATGACCTTATTGCCAGATTTTTGTCTCTAAGTTTAATGGCTAACCAGAAGTTAACCTTTCTCTGAGAAACTATAGTGGATGTAGAAATAACATTTGCAATCTTAATGTTCATAATAAATTGCAAATCCTCTCTTTCTTCTTTCCTTGTTATCTGAATGCTGGATTTCATTCTGACCATTTATTTTCAGATGAGGATGACAATCTTCTTCAAGGTATTAACAGCTATCGGGCATCCCAGAACTTGACAACACTAACAAAAAACGAGAATGCTGAGTGCTTTGCTGATGAAATGGCTAAGCAATTCAAGAGTCAACCCTGCACAAATACCACTGGTGCTGACACAGTGCCAGGCACTGAACCTCAGCTATCCAACTATCCAAATCTTCTAAGCAAATGCAATTTGAATGTCTCTGATACAATGGATGGAGCTGTCATGCCTGCATGTGTACCAAACCTAGTTTCAAGTCTTGTGCTCTCCAACTTCACACAGTCTCAATACTCTGAGAATCTAAATGACACCAAGTACACTGGAATTGGGATTGGTTCTGAAGGAAACTGGATAGTTGTGGTTCTGTCAACAAGTACACCTAAAGGAAGCTTTGCCACATACAATGCAGCCAGCTTGGTTTCCAAGATTCACCCAATTTACCACTTGCTATTGTTGTTTTTGTTGGTTTGCTTCTTGCTGTAAACTGAAACTAAGAGGAGAACTTTTAGTTGCAAGGTCAGTATTCATTTGCAGTGGGTAACCAAAAGGCCATATCTGATTGTTTCAATAGATAGGAAAAACTATGAAATTACCAAACATACCTGCTTCCTTTAAACAAATAAGTCCACATCTTTGTAGTTCAACTTATAGTGTCATTCATATCACTTACTTTGGGAAGTGTAATGAGATCACATTACTGATTCTTGAATCTTGTTTTCTATCTCACTTCTGATGTTAAATCATTACTTTGTTGTTTTCAATGGAGATGAGAACTAAAGAGTCGTGAAAAGAAGCTAATCCATTTCAATGGAGATGAGAACTAAAGAGTCTTGAATCGTGTTTCAATAGAATTTCCTTTTGCTTGTCTGTTTAGATTCTCAAGCTTGACTGCCTTAGGAGCTCATTAACCTCCTTAATTTAGTCCTTTTATTGATTGCATCATGCTTGCTGGCTTAGTGATAGTAGGTGGTCGCAATGCTAGAAATTTGCTTCATTATAGAACTCAAGATTATGCACGTTTTATGCTAAAATGAGTGCAACAATGAGAACATACCCAAGAAATACATGAAATACTTTTCATATTTATTACCTAGCAGTCCAGGACATGTAGAAGAATTTACTACAACGTTTACACAAGCCTAAATCATCAGAATTTCCCTCGCAAGAAGCAGAATTGGCTTACAGTGCCCATCAGTGATTTTGGCAGTTGCTAGATTTTCCCTGGAGAAATGCTGGAGCCTCTTTTTTTTTTTTTAACTGGATTATATTTGTTATCAAACTCCCTTTAATCTGGTAGGGGTCATTAATAGAAACCTCCTGAGTGCAAGCATTAGAACCCATGTGGTTTTTGAGATCTTCTCCTTTATCATTAAATGCAAGGCTGAGCCAAGCACGGTCTTTAGGATCTGAGCAGCTATTCCTTTGTAAAATCCCAGCAGGCCTTCCCTTTTCCAAATGGCATAGACTGCACCTGAAATTGATTTCTGATCTTTTGATTGAGCTGCATCAGTTTTCTCTTCTTCAGACTCTGCAGCCTGAATAGTGACCTTACACCTGATTGCTGGGTAAGTCAAGAAGGTTGCAATACACTTTGAAACAGCACCCAACATGAAGGCGGAGAAGGCTGAGAGAGCTTCTGGGGATGACCCCGGACCTCTTTTTCTCTTTAGACGTGCCTTTAGTAGCCTTTGTTTCAACTGATCAAATGCAGTATACTGTATGAAATAAAAGTTGTATTTTCAGCTTATATCCATTCGGTTAAAATCCATTTTGCTGCTTGATAGAGAGAAGAAAAAATGTAAGATCTAAATGGTAAAATTGCAATATGATGTATGCTGGGACACATATAGGCAGAACACATTTTTGAGAATTTCAGACAGAAGCTGACTCCCAGTCTCCCATATTAGACCAACAAAACCAATTTACCTTGTTTATTGAAACCATACATATGATGTATTAGAGAAGACAAACCTGAGTACCTGAATAGATGGATTTGATGTCAGGAGAAGGGATATGCCAAGGCCATCAAATGCTTCACTCCAAGTGCCCTCTGAAAGTGTCTTCCAAAGTCCTCTGGACTTCCCAAATTCACTTGTCTGCATCCTTGAGGATGCTGTATCTAGGGGCTGGCAAGATCAAGTTTGATTCCAGTATGTAACATTAGAATTTGGATTACTGATTCAAAGAAAGTAAAAACCAAAAGGAGTCAAACCATGGAAAGGAAAGCAGCAAAGGCAAGAGACATCAGTAGGCAATTAGATTGATGATAATACAATGTACAGAGAAATATGCCTTCGTAGTGCCATACGAATATTTTAAAGCAACTCCATTTCCCCTCATTTTATTATGTTTTACAGAATGGAGCCCAAGAAGAAATTGTAAAATGTAAATAGCCACAGATTTTCAAACAAATTTAATTAATAACATGGATGCATAAATTGCCCAGCCAAAGGGAATGTTATACCATTTGATATAAAGGAGCCTAGTAAATTTTACTTCACCCAGAAGCAGATTTATTCCTGAAAAGAGAAGAAAAGAAAAACATAAATTCTCTAAACGTTACTCACCTGTATAATGATAACGGTACAAGCCCCAGCAGCAGCAGCAATGAGCAAGTTTGCTCTTGTTCCAATAGTCTTCCTTCCACTTTTCTCCAAGTAAAGTCTTTTAAAGAAGCTGTATCCATAGAAGTATATAAACTGTGATATAAAGGACTGAAGATTCTTGGTCCCAAGGCCCTGGTACAATGAAAGAACCTGGTGGGTTGAAATTGCTTCCCATAGAACATCAGAAATGCTCCTGCAGGATCAAACCATACAAAAATCAGCCAATGGCTACAAGTCTAGAACCCACTCCTCCATCAGTAAGCAGGAATAAATCAGGCAATCTTTTGACTTTGGAGATTTAGGTTAAACTTAAAACATGTGATAGAATTAAGCTTCAAATTTGGAACACAGAAATTTCTATCTGAACATTATATGGAGGAACTAAATCAGAAAAGCCCCAAAAACGAAGAATCACTTCTTCTGCTCTGATATGATCGTGTACACAGTTGATAGAAGTAACCATTCACAGTATAGGCCCTCAGGGAACACATGAACAATTCTAAAGTACTAATTACTTAAATTTCCAATTCAACTTCACCGAAGATGAGCATATAAACACCTGAACCTTAGCCTATAGAATTCACATGCTGTAGAGAACCACAAAACCTTTTCTCCCCACTAACCTCATCCACATACATATATTAGCAATTAAAGATTCAGAACTTGCAAATGGCTCTAGTTTCCTAACAGAATTGATATAAAATCAAGAAACACAAAATCAATGCAGGTGAAACAGCTCAAGAGAGGTACTAGACCTTGGAAGACCAAAAGAGTGCACTAAAACATACATCATAAAACTCAAACAAAAAATGGGATGAGACCCAGAAGAAAAATCCCACCATCCCTACCGTTACTACGGCACTACCTGTACTTCTGGTGATGATGAGCTCGAACTTCAGCCTGATACTTGCTCTTGCATGTGTCAAGAGGGTACAAGATGGTGGTGCTCACCAGAGCCCCGACGGCTCCCGAGGCAGCCTCCGATAAAGACTCCAGATCAAACCCCATCTCGCATAGCTCCTTCTGAATGAGGTTTCGACCATAAAGCTACGAACTTGAGGATATAAAGGAACCATGGGTGCTGGGTCTGAACTTACTAGAGCAAAAGCAAAAATATCATAGTTCTTGTGAAAGTGACACAGCCGCAGGAAAACTACCTGGTAAAGATACGCATCGTTTTGGAAATCGGATCTGTACTAGAATGTTAAAAGCGTAAGTATATGGGACAAAATATATTTATATCCAAATTTGAGGGTGGGCTTTACAATTTAAAAAAGTATTTTTCAAATCAACAAAGATGAGAGTGCTTGTGAAATTATTTAAAATAGCTTAATAAATTGCTTCAGTAATCATTCATTTTAATCTTGCAAATGAAAATATAAGTGTTAAGAGAATTTTATTTTGGTTAAACCCTCAATTTAGTTTTTTAATTATTGTATGAACTCTTAAATTGGTTCTTAAATTAAAAAAATCTCTAATTTACTCACTAAAATTTTTAAATTTATCCCCAAATTGGTTTTTTTACACAAAAACTAAGTTATCTTGTTATTGACGTGATACATAACCACTAAAAAATAGTTTTTTACTATTAAATAATAAATACATTAGTTATTTTTCAATAAGATGACTAACATGGGGTTAAATTTAGAAATTTTAAAAACTAAATTAAGGATATTTTTAGTTTAAGAACTAACTCTTAAATCTATATAATAATTGAGACACCGATTTAACTTTTCATTTTTATGAGATTTGGT